ACCCCCCCCCCCCCCCCCCCCCCCAAGCTGACCTGCATTTTCAGGTCTCAGGGGAAAAAAAGGGGCAGAAAACAAAAAAAAATTGAATCCCTGATTGCTTGGGAAAACTGCAACGCTTGAGAAACACCAGCCCTCGCACATAAACCTCAGGAAGTGGACAGAGCAGGCAGGAATAATAATCCACATTGGACTTCACTCCCTTGTTAGACTTGGATAGAGCATGCCTAGCCTCATGCTGGCTATAAACCCAAGCCAGGATGACAAAACACTATAAATGCGAAGCCCATTCAGTTTGCTCCTCCCCAAGTGTTTACATAGAAGGTAATTAGGCAGCAGAGGACATGTGTATCTGAATAGCTGGCTTAAGAATCCAACAAAACCCAAGAGCTTCACTCGCCAGAGTCCAATATGAACTGCTGAATGAATCACCAAGCAGAACAGATTGTGATCTTGGATTTGTGCCAGATCACTTTTTTATTTAAAAGAAAACACGCTATGCTAACACAAGGAAAAACTTCTTCACGGTTTGTATGTCCAGACTCTGGAATAGACTTCCAGCGGGGGTGGTGAAGGCACCTAGCCTGGAGACCTTCAAAAGGAGACTGGACGACCACCTTGCAGGGGTTATTTGACCCCAGTGGTCTTTCCTGCCCAGAGCAGGGGGGCTGGACCCGATGGCCTCACGAGGTCCCTCCCAGCCCTAAACTTCTGTGAATCTGTAAACTGTAGGATGATGATTGAGGCATATCCTATCCATCTTGCTGTGTCTCACAGCATCTTCCCAGCTGTTACTTACTGAGCCTTTTTAGTATCCTAAGCACTGCACAGAACAGGAAGAGATGTGATGCAAACTTTTGGATAAAACTTTAGGGCCCATTTTCTATTGTTCACTCAACTTCACAGGCATAGGCAACGTGCAGAGGGGACATGGGGGGGGGGGCATGTGCCCCCCAGCCCAGGCTGCTGCCAACAGTGCTGCCTGTGGAAGCTCGCCAGATCTGGCCCTGCCGCCACCTGCGGGTGCCCTCCAGACTCGGGAGGCACCAAATTGCCCATGT